TTGCAGAACCTGAGCTTAGCTTTATGAAATCCAGAATTTAGTCACGATCTGAACAGGTCCGGTTTTCAGAGTGAGTCATCATTTGTTTTTGCATCGCTACTTTGTCTTAGGTGATCCCACCGCTCCCCGTTTTTATTCTCCGCTCGCGAGGCCATTACTCACCTCTACTAATGTGCACATCAATTTTTCAACAAGATTTTCCTTTGCTGTGGCCAAGCGTTTTCCAACCAGTTGCCGCACTCGAAGACACGCTGCTGACAAGCCAAACAAATGAAACATTTTCAGATTAGCAATGTCAATGTTGCTTCGGAAATGTCGGGATAAATTGCCTTTAGCCTTTGTCATCAAAAAATCGAGGATGCCCTTTCTGCCCTTCTCTGGTTTTGGTAGGCAGCCAGGCCAAGATTTATCGCACATGATATTTGTCAAAACGCAGAGATAAAAGATACACAAACACACAGGCACACACACAGTCGCTGATAGATACAAAACTGCTGTCAGCGGATTTGTGCTGAGCCTATGAAAAGACGATAAATGAGCCTGAAATGAGCAAACAAAGACGTTAGAGGGGGGACACTCTTTGGGCCTTTTAAAAGTGGTTATCATTGGCACTTGTGAGTTAGTAACAAAAGTAATCCTTAATGTGGGAAAAATACTAAGATTGATTTGGAAGGATTTAAGTTTAAAGATCGAAAAGGTTAAAATTTTGATTATTATATCCCTAAAACCACGGAATGATTTCCCATTCTTATTAGTTATTATTTTTTAAAAAGTACACTTAAGACCCGAAGATGGCCAAAACTTAAAGTTTTATCAGCGTCAAGGCGTCTGAGACACGGCCGAGTCAACAAAAACAAAACAATTAAGCGAATGCCATGGGGAGTGGGAATAAGTGATAGAGAGAGAGAGGGAGAGGGAGAGACAGTAAGAGTGAGACCGAGCAAAGTGCAGCACATAACGTAAACTATTTACTGATAAGAATATAAAAACACACATACCCATGCAGTCAAAGAAGAGAGAGAGAGAGAGAGGGAGAGGAGCAGCGAAAACGGCTGAGCAAACACTTGCAAACCCAGCGACGAGCACTCGACAGTTTGTAGATAAAGTATCTGCCAGATACTCTCGTTCTCCCACATACTCTCTCTCTCTCCTGTTCCCTCTCCATAACCATATCACTCTATCGGCTAGGCTCTCTCTCCCTCACTCTCTCCAAGGCACTCTCTCACTAGCAAGTGTTTGAATCTCGTAGATACTTTGGCCTGCTGCCCGCCTGCTCGGAACCCATTTCATTTTTAATTGTTTTCAGTTTTTGAATTTAGTTGTATTTGATTTTCACGTACTCGCGCACTGTCGTCGCCGAAGTGTGCGTTATTTCAGAAGTTTCAAAAAAAAAAATTGGAATTACAAAAAAGTCTCAAGTGAGTGTCGTGTTGTTAAGTGCTGGGAATCATCATCACCACTGACAGTTTGTTATTTGAGAGTCTCCACAAAGTGGCTCCCTTCAGGCCGTTCCATTTGACTCCCAAATATCTTCCCCCCCAAAATAAAAGTGTTTCGTTCTGGTTATTACATATATGGCGCTTGAGCTGGGACCCTCTATGCAGATATTTGTATACAATGCATACACTTAAGAGGCGCTCAAGAACTGCTTATCGGGCAGCAAACATTCCAGGCCTTTCAATTAGGCAACAAAACATAAATCTCTCGCTCTGACAATAAGATGCGGGTCGCGTGTCGCCCCCTTTTTTATTTTTTATAGAATAAAAGCAAAACTAAAGTTCGAACTTCTCAAACTTCGTTTCAAAACTTCTGATGTCATGCCTAATAATCTATTCCACATTCTGTCTTTCCTCATTTCACGTTCGCCTGCAAACAAGTAGCTCACGAAAAGTCATAATATCATCATGATACCAGGGGCGTTCAGTTCCCTAGATTGTCCCCCCTTTTGATTGATTTTCAAACGTAAACGTAGAGAAACCCCATTGCTTGGGTTATACTAATATATCTACGTCTCTGACCGGCCGGTTGCCTTATCGACAAACCGAAAAAGTAACGAAAATAAAACCTTATCGCCGTCGTCTCCGCTCGAGTGATAACTGTGAGTCCGACAGGGAGATAAGTTGGCCCTATGTATGTAAGCATACGACTACGAGTGACTGAGTAAATGGAATATTTTTCCATATGCCTTATTTTTTATTGCTTGTTCCGTTCCACATAAGAACTTTGATGATAAACCGGGAAGTGAGAACAGAAAATCAGTTCTTGCAGCCTGCCTTGAGCTCCCGATGGATATCGCAAAGGGTGAATGATTTCTCATGTACATATAGCTTTAGCTTTCTTATATATTGAAAGCTATTTCTATATATATGTACACTATACACATTGCCTAGCAGTTAGATAACACATTTCATACACACAACACACACACAAACACTCACAATCACAGGTTGTATATGCAACCTGTTTCAAGGCACTCCTCCATTTCAGTGTCCGCCCACATTTCGCCATTCGAGCGATTTCGAATGATTATTATTCGGTGGCAGGAATATCCTTGGGCTGATTGGAGAGTGAAATTCGTGCTGCTGCAGCTGCTTCCAATTCATCACCATTAACACATTTTCGGCTTGAGTGCATTCAATGACGTTTTCTCGTTGTTCTTCATGGCTCTCGCTTTTCTTTTTTTTTTTCTAATCAACGCCATGGCGAACGAAAGAAAGAAAAGTATTTTGCTAAAAATTTCCCAATCCCATTTGGCCTGCAGTTGCAGTTTTCAAGGACACACTCATACACACACACCGAGAGAAAAGTGAAAAATGTCGAGCACTTTGCGTGTTTGCCTGCCATGTGGCATGTGGCAAGGGGGCATGTAGGGCACGGGGCATCTCTCTGGGGACTTTCGGCTTTGGCTCAATTCTCGCAGATTTGGGACTAAACCTGCAGCTGAAATTTGATTGCCAAGTTTTGGCATTTATTATGCGACATTTGACGCCATTTTCGAGTCGCTCGCCTCGAATGGGAATTCTTCAACCAGCGTCATTGGCAATAAAACAAATAGTCGATCGAAAAGCATTAAGTGAATTAATTGAAAAACTCAAATGCCAAGCCGAGGCGCAAAAGCAACTGGTTCTGATTCGCATTCAAACCGAAAACCCGTTCTACATCACGCCGCATCTCCTGCCACTGGCTAAATCGATCTTTAGTTTCTTGATATTCGTATTTGTGGCCCCACTAATTTCTTAAGTAAATGCAAATTTGTGCGACCTACCTGTTTTGTTCTCAGTGACAGGTGTATTGATTACACTTAGCAAAAAAATTAGATAGATAATAAAATATTTTGATGTTTGAAAGATGAATTAAACTTATGAGTAGAATATAAAAGGGAAGGGCTTAGCTTTTTGGTACAAAATAAACTCTAATAACTTATCGTACTAAGCCCACTTTTCTCTCAGTGCAGTGCATGCCATACACTTGCAGGCTGAGTATCTAATAGTACGCATTTTCAAGTGTATCTATGTATCTGGTCGCTTGCTTAGCATTGAACGTCGCTGGCTTTTGCCATCTCTTCGATTTATTGCTCATTTTGCTTTGTGGTCGCTGCTAAGCGGCAACAACAACAACAACATCATATAAAAAACTTATTCAATGGTCAAGGTCGTTTGCAGTCAAATCGAATTGCCACCAACACACGACAAACGCACACACTTGAGCCCCACAGCACACTAGCCAGCACAGAAATAAAAAATATAAAAATGTTTTTGTATAATTAAACGCCATTTTAAACAAATAAATGCGCGTCGCCTATCGTCGTTTGCTGCAGATTTAGTTATTGTTGTTGTTGTTACTTCTGGTGACCGCGCTTTTGGTTTTTTGTGTCGGCGCATTTTTAATTAGCAATGAAATCATAATAAAATAAAACATCTCATGCATAATTGAGTTGCAAGTTGGGTTTTCATTGCCATGTTAACGACGAAACTGGCTCGCCGGCCCAGGTATTCATAACTAACTAATACCGCTTCATGGGTTCGGACTTGTTTAGATAGATTTCAGCTGGAACGAATTTGAATTAACAATTTATAAACGTACGCTTTGGGCAGTTATTATTAGGATCGTGATTTAAATATGAATTTCGGGGGTATATATGCAGAGACAAAGGTTTCTCAACTTCTCAACTATATGGCATAGAAAGTTAAAGGGTGCTAAGTTATAGATACTAAGATAGATAGATATAAGATCTTAACTATAAAGTGTACATTTAGATACAGAGTTTTTTCTCAGCCCTTCTAACCAAATTCCCCCTTACATGGGATCCTTTCTTATAGGGGGCCTGCTTTCAAAACTATTTCTATGGATTCCAGTAATTCATGCTGTCGTCTGCTTTCAATCATGCCACATGTTCAACGTTCACAACGCTTGCTACTAAACCAATCTGTCATAAAACCCTCATCTGCCTGCCCCTCTCCCTCTTCTCGAACAGTTTTGATATGTGAATGCCTTACACAATCCACGCTTTTGAACCGAATAGCCCGGTCCACCACTTCCACTCCCCTTAAAATCCCGCCCCCATCAACCCTATTCTTGCAAGATGCCTTGCTAATTTTGTATATAAATAGCTTCTATTAAGTCGAAAGAAATCAAAATCAAAATCAAATGTTTGTACCTACTACCTACTACTATCTAAATGTTAATCACCTTTGTGTGTGTTTTTAATACTCGAGAAATGCATTGCCACTCTGACAACTGTATCTATATCTACAAGTTAAATGCGAAGTACATACCTATATATTGCCTAAATGTTTACTGTATGTATATTTATTATTGCTGCATAATTCACTCATAAATATTTTTTTCTTTTTCTTTTTTCATATAAACGTTTAAAAAAAAAAAAAATATACAAAACTCGCACATTCCACCACAAAACCACCAACAAAAAACCAACTCAAAAAACAAAAACAAAAACAAAAACTATAAAACTAAATCAAATGAAAACTGAAATATAGAAGGATCGTAAATAGAGTTTATTTACCTATATATGTGGATATATACATATATATAGCGACTGTCACTGTCACTGAGAGCGATCGATAGCCTGTAAATTCATGCGTGTGCATGAGTGGCAGCATCAGTAGCGCATCCAAGGACCAAGGACCTCATCCACATAGCCCATCAATCTCTCAGATGCCAGTGGCGGAACCACAACGATAAGGCATCGCATCGCATCGAATTGCATCCATTGGACAAGGGACAAGGGACAAGAACGTGGACTAAGGACTAAGGACAGTGACTGACTGCGCTCGTTTGATCGTTCGTTCTAGCTCACTCGCTCGCTCTATCGCTCTTTCGCTCGCAAAAGAACTAAAAGAAAAACCAAAACAGATCTATATACCAGATAACCAATACCAAGCAAGCCAAAAACCAAATAATACCAAGCTAAACAGACGCCTCATTTACCAAACATCGAACGTTTCGTTGTCGTTTAACCAAAACAGAAAAACAACCAAAAGCGAATCAAATCCAATCGAATCCAAGCCAATCCAAAAACCAATCCAATCCAATCAAATCAAATCAAATCAAATCGCAAATAGAAAAGAAATACTCAAAAACGAGACATAGAAAACAGAACAGTAAACAGTAACAGCAAAACAGTAACAGAAAACCCAAAGCTAAAGCTAAAGCCAATCATCAGTCAAAGTCGATAACCAAAACCAGCAACATTCAGTTAAAAATGGCCGAAGACGCTACCATGGAGACATGTCCAAGTCCTGAAATCGGCGACTCACGCAAAAGGCCACTCGATTCCGATCCGGAAAATGAACAAACTAAACGCTCACATTTCAGTTCCGGTAAGTTGACCAAAATCCAAATCCAAATCCAAAATCCAAAATTCCAATATCAAAAATTCCAAAAAAAAAATTCAAAATTAGAAAAATCAAAAGAATTCAATTTCCAAATTCAAAATCAAAATCGAATCCCAAAAATTCATTCAAAGCCAGCAGAAGGAAATCTCAAATCGCTCTTCCATATCCCCATTATCGTGCTCTCTCCTCCTCTCTCTCTCTATCTCTCTCTCTCTCTCTTTCTCTGTCTATATATCTGTCTTTATCTATCTATCGTTCGTTATCTACCTATCTATCCTATCCACTACTCTTTATCTCCGAAGCGTATAAATAACTCATTGAATTTGTTTGCCTAACTTTTTTGCCGATCGTGCCGTTTCCCTTCTTTGTTATATGGTCATGTTGTTGTAACCCCCCTCGATATATATATATCTGTATATATATATATATACAAACCCAATAGATACTCTATGATTTCGTAGCTTTTTTTGTGTCGTTTGTGTCGCTGTTGTTATTGTTGTTTGTTAAGTTTCAATTAATCAGCACGAGAAATTCATTTGCAGTTTTCCCCCAATACGTTCGATGTCAGTTTTGCAACCAAACGAACAGGCAGGCGGGCAGTCAGTTAGTCAGTCAGTCAGTCAGGCACAGACTTTGATTCGTAATTAAGCCAGATATGGCGTATACGCCCCGAGGGCTGCCTTCTATAGTCCAGCACTTCTAAATATGACAACTGGCATAAGGCATCATGCATCAGGCATGTTAGGCATCTCGTATCTAGTATCTAGAATATCTGGCGGCTGGCTGCTGGCTGCTGGCTGCTGTCCGTTTTGCGCAGGATTTGGCGCCGAGACATTGTGGGCCCAGTTTGACCCAATTTTCGTCAATGACCTCCGCCTCAAAATCTCCTGCAGCTTCTCATCAATGGCCTGCAATTAGATACAAGTGCCATAGCGGCGTCCCTGGGCTCACCACGAATGACATTTGAACAGCAGCTCCCCACTTGACGAACTAACTGCACTTGCCGGGGACAGGCTGCGAGGCTGAGGTTTGGGGTCACACAAATTCATATGAGAAGCATTAGCATTTGAAAGATACTCCACCACCTCTTCCTTCGATCATCTGTCGTTATTCGTAATCCGTAAGCTCCATTGCCAAACCCATACAGCCAGTCTGTCTGTCTGTCTGTCTTTCTGTCTTTCAGTCTGACCACCACGAGCTATTAACTAGTTGCTTTGCATGATTTGTTCGGCTCAAAACCAGCTGCTGGCATGTTCCAAGGTGAGCAGCCAACCAGCCACTACGCAATCGAAGTACCTGTCGTCATAGCCACAAAAATAGCAAAAGGTGTAAAATGTTAGAGTCGGCCTGTCGCCCCCGCTGGCTTTTGATATTTAGATGGCTAGAGCTTTGAGTCAAAAAAATATCTACATAATAAAAAGTAAACAAGTTTTCCAGTATCTTAATTGTTGGGCGAAAAGTGTGCTAGAGCTTCAAAAGAATAATTTTCAATGGGGAAAAGTTTAGTTTAGTTTCAGTTTTTCGTTGAACAGAGCAGGCTATGTGTATTAAGTAAAGTTGTTAAATATATATATAAAAAAATATCTGGAGAAAATTGAGCGAAATTTATGTGTTATCTTAATGTTGCATCAAAATTCTTAAGTTTTTACTTCGTTCATTGGGATGCGGAAGTGCTGTTCGAGTAAGTTGAAGTTCGTTAGATAGGTAAATATGAATAAATTTCCATATTCCATTGACATTATTTTCGTAGACATCATCAATAGTTTATGGGTTAGTTTTTTAGTTGGTTAAGAATTTGTTTGCTCTTCACCAGCTGATACCATTTTATCAGCTGTTTGGCCAATCTCTCGCCATTAGCCATTCAAACGTTGGCATTATGGATGAGTCCCGTCTAGATACATAGATACATTACGTTTGCTTGTACAGCCGGGCATTTGTTATTAATTAGCCACCATTGAGGCTGTCTTCTGGACAGAGAACAGGTCCACGTTCGGCTGTTTACCCACGTCGTTCTATTAGTTTTCTGGCAATTTATTTACTTAGCTGCCTTGACAGTCATTTGTTTTGTCTAATATCTATTTAATTTTTTCAGTTTTTTCTGTGTTATTTATAGCTGTCATGGTTGGATATTTCAATAGTTGGGGAGGAAGAAGAAAACAAAGTCTTTGGGTTGCACAGGGAAAAAGATGTTTATTTGTTAGATTATCCATCAAGTTAAAAGGTTTATTTAACTTCAGAAACGAAGTTTTAAGCTGGTTTTCAAATCTTTCTTATTCCCAAATTACATATATATTCCCAGTTTAAGTTCTTTGATCCATTATTTTGACATTTTTATACCTTTATATAATTTCGTTATTATTTGCCGTGTAGCCTCGACTAGAAATGCGTCAGTTGCTGGGGCTGCTGCAAAGGAAATGCAGTAAAATCGAGGAAAATAGAGGAAAAACGGGGCGGTGGGTCAGCTTGGTGGATCTGGTTGGGTCTGCTACTGCTGCTGCTGCTGCTGCGTCTGGTGCTGGTGGCTTATGTAATCAGTGCTGGCAGGGCAGCTGGAAAACGGTGCAAATAGTAGGGGGTGTATATTGTAGCATAGGCTACGCGGTGAGAGAGCGAAGAGAGCTGCTCTCGGAAAACGTTGACAGCATGGCAAGCGGTTGACCTACTTTGATGACAATGCGGGTGCGTACGTGTATCTGTGAGTGTGCCTGTGGTCGCTCCTCTGCCTCGCTGCTCGGTGTTCGGTGTTTTTTTTTTTCTTTTCTCCTAGGCAAAGGTCCTGCGCAGTAGGACAACTCAAACTCAGACTCGGCGACCAACCATTCAGCTGCACTGCAGCATTTGGCGCCATTGCAGCCGCCACAGCAGCCGCAGCAGCAACGTCCTTGAGTGGTGGGTCCTGTATAACTGGGTTGGTTAGCTGACTGTCTCACTGGCTTGCTGGCTAGTTGCAGCTTTCTAGCAGCTCAAAGTTATATGTGTAGTATAGCATCGGATGGCTGCTGTTGCCTGGCCAAATCTCAAGTGCGTTTACTGCCTAAGGGCTGTTCGCACTCACTCTTTCACTCTCTCTCTTACTGTTTTTGGCCACAATCTGAACTGGTATCTCTGTGGCGTGTTTTTTGGGTTACCTTATTCTTAGGTGCATTCCATTGTTGGGGCTCAAGTGGCCAGGCATTTGGTGTGACTGCACTTGTAGAGCATCTCGAGTGGCCTACTAATAACTCGAGAGGCCAGGCAGTTTTGGTTTTCTTTTTTAGGGCCAGTGATTAGGACAAGCCCGGCATCCTTTGATAATTGGGTCATCACTGGCCCTTAAATTACACATACGCAGTGTGGGTCAGTAGTAGTGATGGCAAAAGTAAATCTAACGATACTTTTTAGTCTCTTTTCGTAAAGAATTTGTGACTTAGCTTTATCTAGAAAGATAAAAAGTTACAAGTAAGCTAACGTTGTAGGTTTTTATGCCACATAGCTATGCCACGATGACAATTTGACAGCTCAATTACTTGGAATCGATTTGAATCGAATTCGATTAAGGTTTTCACTTAATCTTGAAGGATCCACCCATTAATTCCAGTTGTCATTTATGGATCGCTTGGTAAATCGTTTAATTTGCTCATTGAATTTCCATTGTTTGGCGGGTGAAAACGTGACACGTTCGCTCTTTCCGTTGTTGGCTTATCACGTTGGCTCATTCCGTATCACATGTTGCCACAGCAGTTTCTATTTTCGACACACGCCCCCCACTCATGTCTCCGCCCTTGTTTTGTTTCCACTCCCTTTGCCTCTCCTTTTGCTACATTATCTCGCGCTCTCCCTCTTTGGCGTTGATAATGAACCGAGTGACATGGAGTGGAGTGAGGCAATCAGCGGGGCAGCATTAGATCATATACACAGAGACACAGCGATATCATCATCATCATCATCATCATGATCGTACACTCTGACTCATGAACCTCGCTCTCGGTTTGGCCTCTCCGGATCTCTCGCACGTTAGTAAGTAGATTCTCCAATTCTCCGGCTCTCTGGCAAACTCTATGCTTGAGTCGCGGCTCCGTCTTCGCATCGAACGGAATTCTTCAGTGCGGTTTGGTCGTTCGTTTCGTGCGCTCGCTCGCTCGTGCCGATCGTTTTATTTTTCCATTCCGAATTCCCAACTCCCGCGCAGCCATTTTGCCAGTGATTTGATTGGTTATTTTGGCTATTTTGGCCAACAGCATGTTGTTTGCCAGAACCACCTCGTCTACGTCGATCAGTCCGCCGGCCATGATGATGCAGCAGGATCACAACCAACTGGGACATCAACTACATCAATTGCAGCAGCAGCAGCCAGCCTATCAGCTACAGCAAAGCTTCTGTACGTCTCGGTTAAGTGTATATCTGTTCACCTGTTTCGGTTTTCTTGTTGACCTTGATAATTAGCGTTTGCATTGGTAATTATAGGGTTTATCTTATACATTTCGTATTTGCCAGGAGCTTTGCTGCTGCCAACTGTTTGCCATCACCTGAGTGTGCCTAAGGCATTCGTACACACACGCACACACTGCGTATGCGTAATATTCCGATATTTATATTAGCCAACATAAAGCAACGCGGCAATTAACGTCTTGTCAACTGGGTTTATCTATCTTTTCAAGGTCGCCCCTTGGTTTGTTATACTCTCTCGAATATATAGTGTCTTTTGGCCCTGGAAAGACAAACTTTTCCATCAATACTAGCACTGGCTAATCGCTGAAAAGCCCAAACCAAACCAAAACTGAACTAAGCCCACACAGATCATAGCAATGTATTCAGTTCAATGCCAGTCATAATGATTATTCAAAAATAAAAAGAAGAAAAATAACACTATAGAAACGACAACTCGAGGTGAAGTTTGACCTCAACTCAAGCTGGGATCGGATTGAATCGGGCTTTATCAGTTGATTCTCAAAATCAATTTCGAGTTAGCTGTGTTCGTAATTAACTCAAGAGTCACGCTTCCCCTC